TATGTCTCTAGGCTGACTTTATACTTTTCTTCATTGTTAAAGATGTGTGTAAAGTACTAGACATAGTTTATTCTTGGCTGAATACACTTGTGGATTATTCCATTTAGTAAAAGCTATTTGTGGATCCATAGGGTAAAATGTTTACCTTTGGACTAGGTTTCTGCACTTTTTAGCCATTCAAACAAATATGTTTCTTAGCAATTAAAACAGCCACTAAAATAATTAACTGAAGCCTAAAGAAAGCCTTAAAAATGTGCTCAGCCTGTTGCCAGTGAATGCCTCTTCTTCTGTGGACTAGTTCCCAGAGCAGAGGACAACTAAATTTGCTTTGCAGGGGCTTGTACTTCCACTGGAAAATGTTAGAGTCCAAAACTGAAAACTGTTGAAAACCACTGAACTACGAAGTTGGTAATTTCATGCAGAGGACACATGCCATATATGAAGCTAGTTCATCACATTCAGTATCAATTAGCTGATGAAAGTATGCAGTCAGGTGATGAAAGAGAATTATGTTGCATGTTGTGTTGACAAATGCTCAGCTGTAAATTTTAGGTCTCTGCATATCTCTCTCACATTTAAGAGACTTTAATATCTTTCTTAAAGGGTCATATTATGAATTATTTTAAGGCCAGTCAGTAGGAGAATGATGTAACATAAGGAAATGTCTTAATTTTTCTAGCTGTTATCTCCTTATGTTTCATTACAGTTAGGAGAAAACAGGCAACTTTCAGAAGAGTCAGAATATCTTACAAGGTTAACAGCAGCAATGGTGGATAATGCAAGTACACAATAGAAAATGTGCAGTATGTTCTGTTGCTTTGGACATAGATTTCCATAGCTATTGAGGAAGTATACAGCTTAAATATGCTATAATGTTGTGCTTTTAGTCCTACCTTTATCCACCATGGTCTTTCTTTTTTTCTTACCCTTATGATTAAGCATAAAATAACTCTATCTCACTGGTTTAGTTATCATCGTCATTCACTTTACCATAGTCTCCAGGGACCACAAACAGATTCCATTATGCAAAACTGACAGAATCTTACTACTGAGAGCTAAATGAGTATTTTCTACTGATTTTTTACTCAAAATTTCAGATTCTTATGCTCAGCAGCTCTGCACAAGCTCTACTGACTTCCAGAAAGTCATCTCTACAAATTCATTCTGTGGTAAAGTTTCCTTATACCACAAAGAGACTTAATACACTTAATGATTCTATGATATCCAACCACATCTTTTCACTATTCTCTACTATGTGCTCTTGAAGAACTGCAGCCTGCAAGAAGAGCTCATGTTGGAGAAGTTCATGGAGAACTGTCTCCTGTGGGACAGACCCCACACTGAAGCAGGGGAAGAGTGTGAGGAGTCCTTACCCTGAAGAGGAAGGAGAGGCAAAGAAAATTGTGATGATCCAACCACAACTCCCCTTCCCCAGCCCTTTGCACCACTGTGGGGGAGGAAGTAGATAAATCAGGAGTGAAGTTAAGCTTGGCAGGAAGAGAGGGGTGGGGGAAAACTGTTTTAAGGTTTGTTTTTTAAACCCTCATTACCCTACTCTGATTTGACTGGCAATAAATTCAATTTATTTCCCTTTATCCTTGTCCTTATCTTGACCCATGAGCCATTTGTTATATTTTCTCTCCCCTGTTCGGCTGAGAAGAGTGACAGAGCAGCTTTGGTGAGCATCTGGTGTAGAGCCAGAGTCAGCCAAGAGGCAATGAAATTCAGCCCTGTTACTAGTCCTAGGTGAGTACACTGCATGTGTACATACACCTAGTACGCAATCAGTAACATTGTACAGATTCTACTGAATTTAATTTTGCTTTATAAAATAATTTAAACTGAGTATCTGACATCTTCACAAGTCCTTCTTACCCATGTCCTCATTAGGTAGCTACAGCCTGGAAAACCAGCAGATCTTTATACAGAATTCATCTAGCAGATGGAATAGAGTCACTATCTAACAGCAAGTATAGAATGCAATGGAAATTCATATTTTTTCATCAGAGGTATTAAAAATTCACTTTATAAAGAATGCCTTGTTTTGAAATTCAATGCATCTTTTAAACTTTAAAGGATAAAGTGAATGTATTACTGCTTATCAATCTGGCATACTTCTTTTCTAATTCCCATGTTTTCTATCAACATTTTCTGAATAAACAAATAATGAAAAAGCAATGACGCAGCTAATAAAGACTACCAACATTGAAAGGATAAAGAAATATTAATTTTCATGCATAACTGTTAAAATCTGCCAAGATTTCACGTGAAAGATTTTATTGTGAAATTTGTGTGTGACCAAAAACTCATCTCAACAGTTCTGAGCCATGAAATGAAACCTTAGAGAATTCTTTTTGCAAGTGGCAATGAACATCACTGAAAGGATTCTTTCAGACAGCTGCATTAATATAACTAGCCAACTTCCCAGTTTTGAGACAGCCTCTGCCAACAAAACGATATCACTTTCATGCCTGAATCAGAGAAACAAAATACGTCATCAACAAAATTTTTGTCTATTTTTAATCTTCTCTGGGTTTTGGGTTTACTTTTCCCATTCTCATGCAGCCAATAGGATTTGCTTTACATAATGGATTTCTTTAAATTGTGGCAGTTCAGGAAAAGCAAACAACCACAAAAACATAAACTGGCTCTGCAAAGGAAAGCATAAATAGGATACTAATAAGATGCACACTATCGATTACACAAGACTCTTTTAATATGAAACATAGTAGCTGTCTCTCTGTCTCTAATTCTACAAAAAATGCAGCATTTAAGTTAATAATAACTGAGTTTTGATTTAGCAGTTTTCAGGTAAAGCTATTTCTCTTTAACACATTCTCCCCAAGAAAAGGAACCCGTATTTAGAAATATTGAACACAATAAATGTGCTTTCAAAGCTTGAATGAATGTGATGTTGACACAATATTAATTAGAGTATGATATAAAATCTGGAGAATTGATGGAATCACAGAATGGTTGAGAGTAGAAGGGACCTCTTGAAATCATCTAATCCCTCACAGAATGATTATCTCACAGAATATTCAGAGTTGGAAGGGACCCATAAGGACCACTGAGTCCAACTCTTGTCCAACAGGACATCCCCAAGAATCACACCATGTGCCTGAGAGCATTATCCAAATGCTTGTTGAGCTCTGTCACACTTGGTGCTGTGACCATTGCCCCGGGGAGCTGTTCAGTGCCCAGCCACGCTCTGGGTGAAGAACCTTTTTCCAACCTAACCTAAACCTTCCCTGACACATCTTCAGGCCATTCCTTCAGGTCCTGTCACTGACTGCCAAAGAGAAGAGGTCAGTGCCTGCACCTCCACCCCCTCTCATGAGGAAGCTGTATACAGTGACGAGGTCTCCCCTCAGTGTCCTTTTCTCCAGGGTGAACAGACTAAGTGACCTCAGCCACTCCTCATACAACTAATGATGCTGTTCTGTGATGAACCAAAGCCACCACTACCATCCATGCCCTTGAGCCAGATAAAAAGGCTGGTGGGAGCATACAGGGCCCTACTATAACCCCAATAGTGTCATACTGCATCTGGGGAGGAAAAGTGATCCCAGAGGAACTAATCTAACCCCACTGCTCAAGCGACCTGCCAGATCACGTTGTCCTGAACTGTACATAGTCAGATTTGAATATCTTCACAGATGGAAAATCTACAGGCCCTTCTGGGCAACCTCTTTCAGTGTTTGACCACCCTCACAGTAAGAAGCATCTTCTTCATTTAGTCCTCAGACTGAATTTCCTGTTTTTCAATTTTTGTCCACTGCCTCTGGTCCTATCAAATGGCATAACCAATACCTTCCTCTTAATTTCTTCCCATCAGGTATTACACATTGATGAGATTCCCCTGAATGTTAAACAGTCCCAGCTCCCTCAGCTTTTTCTCATAGAAGAGTCCCCTAAACCATCTTTGTGGCTCTTTGCTGGAGTTGCTCAAGTTTCCTGCACTGGGGGATCCAGAATTGGACAGAGTATTCCAGTTCAATTGTGAATATGACATTTACTCTGCAAAATATGATTGCAACTTTGAAATTAAATTCCTAATGACTATTAATGGAGCAAATAAGTTTCACAGGTAGCAAAATTGATGCCAGGCAAATGAATGTAATGAAGCAAAAAGAAGTAATGATGGTATTCTCTTTGGATAGTAAATGCCAAAGATGAAGGTAGATAGGGAAGCCAGAGGAAGGGCAGGTTCTAACAAAGCATAACTTCAAGGAGAGAACAAGAGAGTAGCCACGATCATAAGAAAAGATCTGGTTACTACTTCAAATTGGAAAATACTGGTTTATTCTGCTTGTTCCCCTTATAGGAAGGTATTTGTGATGGAGTAACTTTATAAACAGTTAATGGTGACTTGAGTTTTCACTCAAATACAGCTGATGAGAAGCAGGATTTAAAATCCCAGCTTATATGAGTCTTCTTTTCTTATAGTTTATTAAGACATATTCATTAAAAAAATAATTTTAACTTCCTCTGACTCAGTAAGAATGAAAGAGTAAAAGTAAGTCTTGGAGTCTTTCTGTGAGGCGGCAATGTCAGAATAAATGTGATTGAGCTATTTGTTTCAAGAAGTAGCAATAAACTGTTTCAATTAGGTAGTGAAAAAAAATCCAAGGACTGCTGAAGGACAGATCATCTTCATGCATGGTTGCTAAATTTCTGCATGCTTTCCTTGTCAGTAAAAAGAAATAGAATTATTTTTTCATTGAATTTTTAACTATTACAATAACAACTAAAAAGGAAGAAAATTAGTTTCTGCTACTGCAAAGGTAAGACTGAAAGGAAAAAAAAAGATTAGTAACCAGGCATAAGAGTAACAAAGGAGATAAGGTACACAATAGTGAAAAGCAATACCAGCTTTACTTGGTAGTAAATAGCAACAACATTGAATATTTATTTAAACATACAGAACGTAAGCCAAAATACAATACCTGCAGAGAAATTTTATTTAACAGCACACTGTGCCTCAGCTTGTTTTTTTCCTATTCATCACCAGTTTGAAGGATACTCAGCAGAAGAATAATATGTGATTCTGCAACAAACTGAGCCTGACTGCTTCCGTGTATGTAACTCTGGAAAATAAAAATGAAAAACATTCCCCTTTAAAACAAAGAAATCCATTGAAAATGGCACAACCAGATATGTGAGAGTGAAACTCAAACTGTTTTTGCAGAGAAACACAGGCTGCAAAAGCTAAAAATTAACAGTGCAGTTTATGTTTGTTTAGCAAAAAGGCATATTTCGACAAAGCACATATATACAGTGAACATTATATATGTATACAGATATATACCATGAATGTAATATTTAAAACATGAGTGCATTATGCTGGACTTTTTCACACTGTTGCTACTGTGGAACAAAGAACAGACATTTATTTGCTCAAGAGAAATAATTTTTGAGAAGGGAGGTGATGAAATCAAGGACATGCCTCAGCAAGGTTTTACAAAAGTGAAAACTGAACTTCGCCTTCGAAAAAATTATTCTACTTTAGCATATTAGTGAAAAGCTGTTAGTGTTTATTGGTAACTAGCTATGAGAGCAAAAAAGGAAGAATAATTTGAGGCACTGCAAACTTACAAAGGGAGGGAGATTCTCTTCCTCTACTACATCAATTACAAACATTGAGTATAATTTATCTTACTACTCTATGTGAAATCAAATATATCGATGTTCTCAAAGTATTATTTAAATATACTCTTCTTAGGCATGGATACAATTTTCACCTCAACTAAATAAAAAGAAAAATGCTCACATATATTAAGGTAAAGAAACAGGAAACGTTTTGGCCCCTTAATGGGTTTGTTAGTTTATTTTTTAACTCATACATGTTGCTTTACTTAATTTTTTTCTGAATAATTCTGTCTGAATACCATCTTTGTTAGGACTCAGAACAATTCAGATCTGAAATACTCTGATGCTTTACCCACACTAATTAAATTCTGGTTAATGAAGTGTCAGATCATGTAATTCTTAAGATATTATAGAAGTTTTCAGTCAGTAGTTGGTTATCTACTGTTTTCAAACTTCAATTATATTATGCTCATTCAAATAACCAATTCAAAGGTAAACCAGGCAAGACCTTCATGTATTTAAAGATTCCATCTCTCAGACACAGTTTTTTTCTTAAACAATATAAAAATCACTGATCTTATAAGAATATCTCATTGCAGGATGCTATAACAAATTATTTCTAGACTTTTTTGTGTGACTCCTTATAACTCTCACTAAGGAAATATATACATGCATGTATAAAACAAAGGAAGGAAATAAGCATATGTATGAACAAAAACTAATGACAAAGTTAAAATACTTGATAGATTGTGTTAATGTAAATTATTTTTCTTCTAGGGCAGCAATTTAATTCACCATAACACCATTGAAGGTACAGAATCCAAAGTATGTACAGAAACACATGCAGATACTATATAGAGAAATAATGCCTTTCCTCAAAATAGTTTGCTGATATTACATTGTTTAGCTTTCTTCCTAGTAGGGAGGTATAGCCTCACCTTCAAAAACGTAAATTTTATGCTACTGCTTCTGACCAAAATAATGTGTCCCACACTGGGGAAGAATCACATTTGAGTTGCTAGGTTCATCACTCAGCATAGTCATTTTATTTAAAAATATCACTCAAGTTTGTGTGACTTTTGGTTTCACTTGGAAATAACAAATAACTACAAAGAATTTTGTTAATGAAATAGGACAGTTCCATAACCATGTAGCTGTCAAACCCGTACACTAACAAAGTTTTAAAAAAATGCCAGCAAATATGTTAACTCTGAAAATTTCAAGCATGATTTTTCAGTAGCTATTCACACATGAAAAATTCTCTTAATCTGAGGATGATGCAGTAAATCCAGTTTGCAATACTGTCCATGCAGATTACTTACAATGCAAAGCTGAAACCCCACAAAGAAAAGACTAAAAGCTATAAGAAACTAATTAGATGGTTATTTTTATATGTTTATCTGTTACAGAAGTGGCATAGTCATTTCATCTAATTCACTAGCAGGGTTGGTATCACAGTAATATAAGGATACAGCTATTGGAAAGACATTCTCAGAAATCTCTCATTAGAATAACAGGATCATAGAATGGCATGGGTTGGAAGGGACCTTTAGAAGTCATCTAGTCCAATCCCTGTGCAATGAGCAAGGACATCTTCAACTAGATCAACTTGCTCAGAGCCTTCTCCAACCTGACCTTGAATGTTTCCAGTGATGGGGCATTGTAAGGAATTCAAGAATACCCTGCCTGTCTCAAACACACTTAAGGTCACAAAAGGGATTAGTCCTAAGATACATCAGCCATCACAGAGGGGCAACTTGAGATAAGCACAAAAGAGATGAGTGTGCACAAATTCCAGGCCTGGCAGAGGAGAGATCTGATTAGCACAGCCTGATTAACATATCTAAACAAAAATTCCCACTGTGTTGTGCTACTTCCATGCCTGGTAGAGATCTGGTTATCACATCCTGAATAATGTATCTAAACAAAAATTCCCACTATGGCAAACTGCATATATATATTACTGGTCAAAGCTCAGCCTGAGTTTTGACATCAGACAGGTGGTATCTGTGATCACCAAAACCCCACCCCGAGGAAGGATGCAAATGAAGGCACACCCATCCTTGCTTTGTATGAAAAATAGGAACAAGCCTCCATGGATATGTGGAATTTGGACTGTATAAAGGTGGTACCCCCAGATGAGCAGTCTGGGACCCCCCCCCACCAACAGCATGATTTGGGACCCCTACCATCAGAAGAATGACTCGGGTGAAGATGGACCAACAGGATGCTGCTGGATCCATGGGTGGTGATTATCTCTGCCTCCCTCCCTCTCTCCTCCCGCTCTTTCCTATTTCTTCCTATCTCTCTACCTCACATTTACAATTATAATCAAATAAACCCATATTATTATACTATTAACATATTATTGACTTTAGCATATGGTCTCATTTGCACCTTAATTTGGGCAGATGCGCCTCTCACTAAGCAGATCTTAACAGGCATCTATCACCTCCCTAGGCAACCTGTGCCAGTGTCTCATCACCCTCATCATCAAAAATTTCTTCCTCACTCGCAATCTAAGTCTACCCTCTTTTAGTTTAAACCTATGCAGCAGGTCTAAAATCTCTGTCCCCATCTCTCTAGTAAGACTACTTTAAATACTCAAAGTCTGTAATAAAGCCTCCCTAGAGCCCTCTCTACAAATTCATTGTTAATATATAGGTAATCACTATGATAAAATCCTAATTACGTCAAAGAATTTAGAGCAGAATAACTTTCCCTGCCTTTTTCCTTAACAAAGTAATTAATTACATGATGTAAAATATGCATATTTGTATCGAAATTTGACTAGTCTCTCAAAAGATAATAAAAGTCCTTAAGAAGACAAAATCACGAAAACGATTTCCTCATTATCACAATTAATTAGCTGACAGATAAAGAGTCCTAGCTGCCATCCCATGAACTAGATACAGTTTATTTGCAAATGTGAAACTTAAACCAACCAGCCAACAACATGAAACAAAACCACTCTGACTAGAAGACCTGAACCACAGACTGTAATTTGAAAACTACCTGAGGAACATGAATGCTAAATTTCTCATAGGGATTAATGCTCTAACTATATTTCTTCAAATTTGAGTTGCTATGGGCATAGCCTTGCTTGCAAGGAAGTGGATGTTCTTTGATTTTGTTCTGGAAATGTTACACGTACATTAAAAGGCTAGCAAGAGACAATTGTTATGTAATGCTCTATTCCCAGAAAGGGGAGAGAAATGGATAAAAGCAAAGTGAGTAGACACCTTAAACATAAAAACCCAAGCTTCATCTTTGTTTCAGAGGGCAAGAGATCTCATGTTAACAGAAAGAGTGCACTAGTTGAAAGCCACTTTGTTAAAATGTTAAATAAGGCAGATATTTGTTGCCCAGCATTACCTTAAAAACCAAAGAAATTTCACTGTTAACTTCTTTGTTCTATTACAAATGCCCTTAAGTAGATTATTCTTTAAAGTTACCCAGCAATAAATCTGAGTGTGATCAGTAGGTTCCTCAAATTGCTTCCCCAAGACACTGCTCTCTTAAAACAGCAGTATGATGTATCACCTCTATAGTTGTGAGTAAGTCAAAGCAATGCCAGTAAAATACAGAAAGACTGTTCTATGATGTTCCAGTGATGAAGGATAACCAAAACACCTTGCATCTGAGAATATATTGTGAATCACCTGAATTTTTAACAGCACCTCATCTCATTTCTTATGAGGATCTTAACTACTTCGGTTTTTCGCTTCAATGAATTTTCAGACCTATGTTCTAAACAGACAAAACACAGAGTAGAAGTTTTCAGAAGGCAGAAGACGAGTATTTAATATTAAAATTATGGCAAACAGTTTTTCTTGAAGAGAGAATGGTGACAACTAGGGTTATAGCTGAATGGCAGGTTAATGGTTGGACTTGATGATCTTACAGGTGTCCTCCAACCTTGGTGATTCTATTATTCTATGAACAGTGTGGCACTGGTCCTTGCCTAGAGTCATAATGCAATATTGCAAGCCCATTCTTAAGTGTAGACTATATTTGTATCGATACATAGGTACCAAATGTACCCACGCACACCAGTTTGTACACTGCAATGGCCAGTGACTCAGGACATTCTGAAATTGATGTCCATCATCTGTGGCTTGTACTAAAATAGAATACATTTACATACACTTTTTAAAAAGAATTTTTTTAAATCGGCTATTCATCAATACTCAAGCTGAAAAAAGGATCTGGTCAAATGTGAGGCTTCCTTATTTTCACACTATCTTTCCTTCTATAAGAAGATTGCTGAATGACCCACATGCAAGGCACATATCCTCCCAAAATTTTCCTTGAAGCTACAAACTATTAAAACACTGAGAAGGAGGATTTCTGGTTTTGCTATGTTTTATGCTTTTTGACACTGAATCCATTTAATATTTAGAAGCTCTGTGAAGTCTATCTGGCTACAAATGCTCTAGGAAAAAGCTTTAAATAAATTCATGAATAAATTCAGCATTACTCTTTCATTTTAAAGACA